ACCATATTTACAATCATAGTAAGAATAAAAGGCGTCTCCAGATAACGGGACGGTCCCTTGTCAATCATTTCGTTGTACGATTTACCAGTCTCTATCACGAATACTGTACATGGAGTCAAACAGACATGGAGTCAAACAGATTTTATTAGGGACTATTTCGCTCAGGGACACTTAGGAGGCTCTAACCTGAGCTCACTAAAACTAAACCATGCCATCATAAAAAAATGAATTTTTGGTGTTTCATATCGAAGAGGTCTTATCATGCATTGGCTTATAACTGCATTAAAGTGGCAAAGTTTTGTTATCAGCAAAGTTGAGAATGTATTTTTTTGTGTTACATTTTCAATTATAAACCGTAGTCTTGCCAACAAAATTATTTTAACTTAAGATTGCGTTGCAGATTATTTCATTTTATAAAAAAGTAACACACGCTTTAGTTTCACACAACTCTTACAATATAACTTATTCAAACTCCTGCACGTACATAATTTTTACAGATATATACAACGAAAATTCTATATAAATTCAACGTGATAATTTTAATTTAGTTTCTTAATCTGGTTGGGAACTGTTTGTATGAGATGAGATAACTGCAGTATTTAGATTGAACTGATTTCTATTTAGAATCAAAATACATACTTATTGAATATTCCCTATTTTATTGTATAACTTCTAACACTGAATATAAGTGTGTCTCCCCGTTCTGATGGTAAAGATTCTCATACAGTTTTTCTTGGAAATCGACACAAATCAATCAGAAATGTCATATATATATCAAATGCGTAGTAAAATAGACCTATACCGCTCAAAATTTGTTAAATAAAAATGTCCCAGTTTTGATGGTTAAAATCATGTCCACTTATTTTAGGTTTTACAAGAATGTGTGTGTGTTGGGTGGGTGGGTGATTAAACATTACACCATTGTCGCTATCAACTGTTATAGGTGTAGTTCTGACAATCCAACTCCAATCGTTTCCGTACAGTCCCAAGTAGGCTTTTCCACGATAAGGATGTGAATGTAACATGCATTGCAAATAATGGCTTCAGCATATTTCATTATGTTGTAGCCTCTACAGAGTTTTTTTCCCCCGTTCGTAGCAAACTTGGGGGTTGGGTGAGTATTAATGGAGATGAATGCTCCCTTTTCCAATCTATCGTAGTCTGATGTTTGCTGATAAACTAAGTATCGGTAGAAAAATCAGATTACAATTGATTATATATATATATATATATATATATATATATATATATATATATATATATATATATATATATATATATATATAAACTGCTGAAAAAAATGAATTTAAGCACAGTGTGAAATGAACGTATATATCACGACTTACCATGATATCTGTATTAAATTGTTCATGTTGCATGTCAAGTGTGATCGCCGGTCTTGCGGTAACAAATGTCATCGATTTCAACCTCGCCCATTATTAAATACTCACAAAAGCTTCCGGAATCTTAGTTTACATGAATTTCCCACACCAGAAATATGTTTATCACACTTTAATTCACATCCAAATCATCATTTGATTAGCACTAAGCTTGATTACTCCAACAGTTGACATCACGAAAATACGTCTGTAGTCAAGATGGCCGACAGTAGATCATATGACCGGTTCCACACAGTAAATTTGTCAAGTTCACATTGTTTTTATTACATTTCACTTGTTGATTGTAAATGTTGGCCTTCTTTTATACAAGTATAAGTATGTTTTGAATATTTAATAGTTTATACTTCATGTTTAAGTTGGTCAGTATATTTTCAATGCTTTCAGCGTTCATTGGTAGTTGTGTACTCTTTACCCAATGTTAACAGTCTTGGTTAAGATTTAAAGTATGTTGACGTAATGTTTATATATTTACTAATGACAGAGTGTAAACGGACAAGTGATGATAGCTAAATTGTTATTAACCCTCACTTTGTGTAGCTGGTTGTAGAGTATCTGTTCAGCACCATCAGACTTGTTTGCGTCCGGGACAAGCAATGATTGGTTAAAATCACGTCACATGACAATTTTCCGAAGAGTATAAATTGGAGCGCAATTCGAAATTCGGCAGATAGATGTCAACATTAGCACCTCTTTCAACATCTCTCCACCAATTAAAAAGAACACTATATTGATGTAGTTATAATTACAACATTATTGAATGACATTAAGAAACAAATAGATAGACCTATTTATAAAAAAAAAGACAAATCAATAAATTTTAATTTCTTTATTCTCAAAAACAGACTGGAATTACATATATAGTACAGCAATAGGAATCAATTCAATTAAAACGAATTCAATTCACTGTTATTCATTCAAGCTTAAAATGAAAGTAATATTGTGCCACATAAATTAGCAGCTATCTCCCGCAACACTAAGAAATCATGGCTAACTTTCAAAATACTTACTCCAAGGCCCGTTGACTTCTTGCTGAATAATTATGTTAAGGTTACGAACGCCAGCATATTATAGCATTTGTGTATTGCATATGTTACACGTAATCAAACACATGTATTCATATTTTTAGTCATATTTCTTTTATTAAGCATCTTACCACAATTTCATAGTCAAGAATAAAAAGATCCTGACTTTGAGCATTTCTTTAAATTTATTATTACATTTACACAAGTTAGCCTATACCCTATAGCCCCATTTGTATTTGTTACTATATATATATATATATATATATATATATATATATATATATATATATATATATATATATATATATATATATATATATATATAACATGAATATGTCAGTGAAGGTGCCACTGGCAATGTCTATGAGGACGAGGACGACGGAAATGATGAGCATTTATTTCGATTTAAGGACATAAATAGGGAAATAAAAGTTCTCCATCATTTTGAATATAAATTTATTGAACGTGTCCAGGATATAACTAATTTACTACATTGAAATATTAACGACTGTGTAAAAAACGGTTGGGACCTTATATAAGGAAAGTTTTGTTAAAATGCAGACACTGAAATTCCAAGAATTATCACAGAGGTCACAACCATCCAAGTGGGATCATGACTGAGTTAATGCTAAACATGAGAAAATTCAGCTTTGAAGAAAAATCAGATTTACAAACATGATCGCCTGCACATATTGGCAAGGAAGTGGGGAACTTGCCCAGTCCCTCACCCCATAATTTACCTATGAACATGTTTTGAACAACACCTGTAACACTTAATGGTTGATCACTATATGTCTGACTACACTAACCACTACCATCGAGACAAATTTTGCGGGTGCCCTTGTTTACAAACTAAATTATTGATAGACACAGTTGTTCACATAATAGAAGAGGGTAAATGTATGTGAAGGACGAAGAAGGACTGGTTTAATTATTTTTTCCTTATTAAAGTCGAACAGAGATAAAAATATGGATGAAGAGGAGGAACGCACTGAGATTGAGAATGATAATTTCGAATTAGGAAAACAATTACAAATCAAGATATAATGAAAAGCGTTCGTTCTTTGAAAAAAAAATTCCACGTCCCAACAAGATTCCGGACATTTGTTCCCAGATGACTTTACCATTGTTTCATTTCTTAATTTGTTTTCTAATAGGATCTTTAAAATCGAGAAATTTCCAAAGGAGTGGTCAAAAGTATAGTATTTAAGGATGGGAGTCTGAACGGCCTGAGCAAAATATTTACATCTATTAGATGGACAGAAAGTAAAAATCTAATATATGAATCTCAGGCTGGCTTTAGAAAACACTACAATACTTGTGGCAAGATATTCAATTGCATGTGATAGGTCAGAAGTATGCGTGCAAATTTGCTGGTTGCTTGTACTGTTTGTTTATTGACTTTTACGAAGGTTTTGATCGTGTACAATATACTAAATTATTGATAGAAATATTTTACAAGCTTACAAAAATACGTATTCATTTTTTAAAAGCTGTGTACAAACACAAATTGACTAAACAAGTATTTTAATTGCAACGAGGGAATTAGACAAGGATGTGTTCTAAGATCAATTCTTTCAATTCTTTTTATTGATGATTTAGTTCAAAAATTACGAACTAAGTGTAATAGGTGCATTTTCATCACATATAATATACCAGAGATATTTGCTTTATTGTCAGCAGATGATGTTGTTACTTCTGCTGAAACTACAAAAATAAAATAATGCCAACGACTTATGTATTGAAACAGGATTGGTAATTAATCTAGAAAAAACAAAAATAATTGTCTTTCGAAATGTGGGATTTTGAGAAAATATGAGCATTGGTATTATAGGGGTGAACCTGTTGAAACAGCGACATTTTATAAATATACATGTATGTGTATACTTTTTACATTGACGTTGAGCTGCATTAAGGAAAAACTATGCTGGCATCACAAGCGTTGAAAGCAATATCTAGAATTTTTAGGTATCAACAAATGTTGGGAAAATTATATGGAAAGAATTAATTATATAAATTTCATAGCGCAAGAAATGGGAGAGAAAACATATTTTTCTAACCATCTTTACAAAACACTTAATGGAGTTTTCGTTACAGACCTGGTCAAGTCATATTGGCGATTCTACGCAATGTCAGTACAAGTCGTTATTATATAATGAGAAATATTTAATTTTAGATCTACTTTTCATTTTCATAATCTATTTACATCATTTTGGTATTCTAAACATGATTTCATGACAGAACGAGGAAGACACACTAAAATTGAAAGATATAATAGAGTCTGTAATTTATGTCTCTAAAGAAAATATCAAGAGTGTAGAAGACGAGAATCATCTTTTATGCATATGTACTTATTAAACTAATGTAAGATGGAATTATCTCGACTATATCAATTATATCAACCCTTCAGTAGATAAGTAATTTTTTATGTCTAATCAGAAAATTAGCCTTGTTACAAATTTTTTAATATTTTTGCTTTTTGCTTTAAAACTATGAGATGAGTTGTTACAAGGCATCAATATCAATACCTACATATATTTATTGTACAATACTGTGCATGACGCATTGTGCATTATACTGTTTATTATGGCCTAGTGGTTAGAGCGTCCGCCTCGGGTGCGGGAGGTCGCGAATTCAAACCCTGGCCAAGACATACCAAAGACTTATAAAAATGATACTTAACAGCTGCCTTGCTTGGTACTCAGCATTAAGAGGCTAGTTTTAAGACTGCTCAGTCTGGTGCCAGGATAATATGACTGGGTGGACATCATGCTCAGTGCTAGACATCAGTATACATGGCCACAATGCAGATATCGTTTCGATATGACTGAAAAACCGTTAAAGCTACGTTAAAAATACAAATCACACACACACACAAACACGCGAGCGTGCGTTCTGTTCTGTTCTGTTCTGTTCATAATGTTAATCTTAAGGACTAATTGTCCACGTACAGTCCAATTTCAAAATGACAAGTATAATGCTAATTTCCATTTCCCCTTATAATTTCCATGTATCCCATCAAGCTGCGTCTACGACTACATTCGTGTATTAGTACGTACCTTTACAACCGTATATTCAAGGGGAACATTCAAATTGAATATGAATCATTTGCACAAATCAGCTCCCGATGGGCGACAACTTTTTCAGTCAATACCGGACCTCAAAGGGGGACAACATAATTTTGGACATTTATTTATTTATTTACCCCAAAAAGAGATTACACTGAGGCTCAGAGTAAAAGATAGGACGTAAATGATTTCGAGCTACATAACAAGACCTTAAATCTAAATATCAGTCAAGTTGTTGCCAGAAGGATACATATTCGAGCATCACTAGTATGCACAAAAGATAAAGATACTAGAAAGGTATTAATGTTTCATGAAATGAAACCTGAATGATGACTGACTGAACTGCAGGCTAATTCGGACTGACATGTCCTTCACTTCCTGCTGCCATCACCAGAACACGATATTACAGTTAAGATCAATGGTTCGCATCGATTTTTATTGCACCATTTAGAAGAAAATGAAATATTTAAATATTTAACTATGTGCTCTCTCTCTCTCTCTCTCTCTCTCTCTCTCTCTCTCTCTCTCTCTCTCTCTCTCTCTCTCTCTCTCTCTCTCTCTCATCTAATTTTTTAAGCAGTAAAGCGAAGAACAAAATGATTTTGAAAGACGATCTGAGTTGTGCCGCCATAGAACACAAATGTGTTTATCCATCGCAAGAAGATCCATTCTGTCGATCCTGACATACAGAAATAATGGAAATGTTGTTCTAAGACTATACTCTGTCTGTCTATTTTATTCTTTATTTATTTGTTTTCATACCCTGATACCACCTCCCTTCCTCCCTCCCTCCCTTCCTTCCTCCCTCTCTGTGCTTCTCATACAAAGCAGAAAAGAAAATCAACAAGTAGAAACTGCAGTCAAAGTTTATAACGCGGTGAGTTAAATCGATGTCTGGCAATGACGCCATTACTTAAGACAAGATGGCTCTAATGAGAAAACGAAACTTAACTAACTCATTGTGATAGATTGTCCTCTCATGACTGCAAAATGAACTAATATCGAGGAATGTTTATCAAATACGAAAAATAAATAAATGAACTATGGTATTTACTCGTTGTTAATAGAAAATATTTTTTAAAGTTAATTGTGGTAGTCGGGTTCTCTGGCATTACTTGTTAAAATTATTGAAATATCTGACCTTACTGTATAGGGAGTGATATTACTTTAATTATCACTGATCAAAATCACTCTGACGCTTTTGAATTTTACATTAAATATTAGAGTATGCTAATTTAGGATTATCAAAACAGATGGTTTAGCACGTTCTAAGCAGTGATAATTTTTATTTGATAGTTTTTCCACTGTGAATGAACATCACATAATCTGACATCATGCCTTTGTTATTCGTACTGTGACAGATATTGTTCTTTTCAGAAGAGATTTCAAGAACCTTATCAGAAATGTGATCAATAAAAGTGTCTGGTTCTAAGAGGAGAAGACGACATGAATTTTGCTTATGAAAATTACTATTTATTCTATAAGAAAAAGCCACAGGAACACCTTTTTCGTGGGGCAAAACAGTTACAATCGCTTCTACATTAACTTGTTGCCTACATACTTAATTGTATTTATTTCATCATCGGCTGTGTCCTTTAAGTGTTTCATCTCATTATTAGCAAGCCTACTGTAAAAATTAGACCGATCATGTTTTATTTTTAGAATCGAGTGCTGGGATTCATAAACAAAAATAAAAGTTGAAAATGCCTAAACCAGCACTTTATATAGATTTTAGATCATCAATGAACTTTACTAGACCATTCAGATTGATGCACAAACTGTGTCGTCTGCTGAGATTTGGTTACTGTTCATACTAACTGGCGAGAAATTTAATTTGTGTCACATATGAATGACAGATTATTTGCTTCGGGTCGCATAAATTCATTGTTTCCCTAAATAAAAATATTACTATTACTCGAGTCTGAACCCGTAGAAATAGTGTAAAAATTGCTTATACTGTAATGTATCTAAATACAGAATCACAACCTTGGACGAAATTTTGTTGAAAATTATTTATAAAGAATGGCGACATTAAAACACTGACAAGATTCTTGGCTCAAAACACGAAAGACTTCATTCTGCCTCCCAATATTTTTTAAATCTCAGCAACACTGTATGTTTCCTATAAACATATATGCCTTACGTATTTTAGTACTGACTGATTTATTTACAGCATATGTATTACCTTCCTCATTTCTTTTAAAGGATCTGCCATATTGGCAATGCAAATGTGTATTAGGTTCAAATAGAGTTAAAATATTTTTTTTTGTTTTAAGATTTGCATCTTTGTCTTCTAATTTTCTATCCGTTTTGAAGGTGAAGAAAACTCCATATGCCCTTTAAAAGTTGTTTGTTAGCTTGAAATGAATGATCTACGTAATATACATGACATGAAACATGTTACTGGAATACCATGCAAGACTAGCACTGTTTCACCTTGATCTTTTTATACAGATATTAAGTAATATTATTTGTAATTGCTTGTTCGGGGTATCAGGGCGTCACAGAGGGGTAGCACCTCTAGTGGGAGGACATGTCGTGTCCTTCTCAGGACATTTCATATACCTTTTGGTTACCACTTGGCACTCAGCTCTCACCTTTGGCTCCATGAAGCTGTTAGCAAGAGATAGAGTCCATATCCCGGCAAACAGGCTGGCTAAACCAAGTGTGGGTAATCGATGGGTACTAAATCCTCTGTGAGTTAAGACTTGTCTACCTAAGGATTAAAGACTGGATGCAGCGGACTTAGTGGAGGAAGCCACCAGCTGCTTTAAACGGACAGTAAAGAGAACCGAGGAATGTGCCATGACGAGAAAGTGAGGCTGGCGAACTTTGCAATTCTATCTCACTGTAATCCAAGTCAAGCTCAAGTCAAAGTTTTAAACCCAAAACTCATAATTCTATGTCATGTGGCGATGTAAGAGTAACGAAACAGAGTGAGGATAACACTTAAGCTTTAGTCACACGAACCCGCACAAAGGCGGCTAAAGGCATAGGGTGGCTTTCTATTTGACCGAAGCAGCAGTGGAACTCGGCTACCCTTTGAGTGTCAGGGCAGTTCTTTTTATGATCGCCCTGCTTTATTCCGTAGCATGAGAAAAGGGCTAGAAAAAGTACTCTAAGCTTAGCCTGCTCATCTCACTCTGGCCGATATACAGAGTGTGGCTGGGATTATTTCGTTGCAGTCAAACATCAACAGAAAAGAAAAGCAGTCGGTGTTCACATTACACACATGGAATGTTCGATCTCTTTTGGACAACTCTAAGGCCGATAGACCGTAGAGACGGACTGTACTGGATGCTAGGGAACTGGCACAATACAATGTGTATACAGTGGCTTTGAGCGAAACTCGTTTAGCAGACGAGGGTCAGCTATCTGAAGTGAGTGGCGGCTATACGTTCTTCTGGAGTGGCTGTGACAGCGAAGAATGTCGCGAGGCAGGTGATATAGTGTACAAGCTTGTAAGAAGGGTTTCTGACGAAACAAACCTACGTTTATTCCAAACAAGTACAAAGTCGCCATTTTTGGCATCATTAGAAACACCCACTCGACAATACCCATTGAAAGATTTTCAAGGTGAGGTTCGTAACCGGGATTATAATCATGGAATTCTCGCGAATGTACTTGTTTGGAGTAAAAATATGGTTCTTTCGCTAGAAACACCCAGTTATACCTACTATCACCATCGAGATTCTAAAAAATCTTTAATCGCTATTCTGTTAATCGGATATTTACTATGAGCGTGACATGATCTTGACAGATCACGGTGTACTGTTATTTTTGTGCAATTTTGTTGACTGATAAGATCATGGAAGTTATTGTATCGCTCTGACAGCGTTGATTTTAATTGTCCCAGGTGTCTGAAATATTCAGTCATTAAATCGAATCAGCGAAAATTTAAGTTTATGAAATTTACTAAAACATATTTCAGAAGTCTAATTCATTATTTTAACTATCAACGGTCTATTGTCAAGTAGAAGACTTTTGCTGCTATCTGTCACTGTCAAAGTTTCAAACATTATTCTTTTAGTTTAGAGAGAATTTTAATACCTACTACAATAGTAAATCTAGAAAATCCCATTGATCTGGTTGATTATGTCCAAGTGCAAGAACATCAATTCCGTTTTGGCAATATCGTTTGTCATCAATATTTAATAGAACGCGTTTTAAGATAAGATCAGTTTCTAGTTTGTGATGATTTGTTCTAATTGCCATTGTCCGAATATGACTAACATTTCCATCAAGCGCGTAAGATAATCCGTAAGCCCATTCGTTTTTCAACATATCTTTGAGGTAATCCATTGCTTGCTCATTTTTTTAAATTTTTGTTTAATAATTTCAATTAATACATTTTCCTTCGCAATCCAATAAAAAAGATATTACAAAAAAACTTGTTACATCTTTAAATTTTCCAATTACTATTTTATTGTTATTATCCTGAAATCCACTATCAGGTGGATAATCTGATAGCTCAAATATTTCCCATTGTCATAGATTTCCTCATACATATCACATTTTATTTCGTACATTAACTAAACATTGTCGGTAAACAGCTGTTTAGCATTAGACCACTGCCACTTAACAAA